ACCATGTGGGTACAAACAATTAGTAATCATAATTATCTGGTTTAAATAAATTAAGAAAAAATATTTTAATTGTAATATTATCACAGTTCAAGGAAAAGGTTGCATAAATATTTGAACAGTCCGGTGTTAGTCAAATGTCATTCGATTGTTATTTATCAAATCGATCCAACGAAAGATAAACATTTAACTGGTAATGTCTCTGGCTGTGGCATTGAGAAATCTGTGACAGAATTTTACATAGTGTTTATAAGTAACAACAGGCAAAACGCTGAAACTGGGTTTTCTATCGTTTATCTTTGCCCACATAACATGATAGTTAAGGCTAAAATAATACATATATAAACTTAAATATCCGTTAATCAGGCATTCCTACAATCATTTGACGTAAGAATTTCAAAATATCTCACAGTAAAACCTTAGCAATACTTTCCAAATTACTTATGAAACGTTTTTTCTACCGGCTTTTTTTAAGTTAAATGAAAAAGTTCTAGCCGTGTTTAGATCTGCTGATTATTTTGGCTACTTAAAGTACACTATCAAAACGTTGGCCAACTGAATGTAAACCCTAAAGAAAGTATTCGCAAACCCAGCTAGAAAAGAGTGATTTAAATAATTCACATATATGCATTAGTCATGGCTAATTGAAAAAGTACACTTCTTTTTGATGACTCTGACTCATCACAAGGATTCAAGACATTGTGTTATCGGGATGGCTCCCTTTATTTCATATAATTGCACTTCAGATCCCTTATATATTGGTTGGGAACTTTTTACCCAGTAGATCAATTAATTCCAGCACAAAGTTTGATATTAACTGCTGGAATATTCATAAAAATAGACTGGTATTACTACATCAATAAATATTCGTAATCTTTAGTAGTAAATGTCCTACATGATCCTTCAAACATGTACCCGTCTTATGAGGGAAGTAAACGGAATGATCATAAATAGTAATCTGTTTAAATGTGAAATGACACTTCGCTAACGGGATAAACTTCTTTGGTTGATTCTGAAAATGATGAATCACTGCATTCTCACCCGGTTGTGCATATTTTGAAATTCCCAAAATTCTTTATATAACTCAGAGATCATCCAGAGGCATTAGTAATGACTATTTCGTGCCTGACATGTCTGCACTTCACCGGTCATGACTTCCCATCAGAATCTCAAGAACTTATTGTGAAGCGACTTAGTGGCAAACACACGATTACAGCATTGGCAAAGGATAATTTTTGAGATTGGTTTACTTAGTAAGTTGTATTCGTCACAGACTAAACTCATCATAATTTCAAGAAGTCTCATACTGACACGAAACACCTATATGATGCTCCCTGTTTTTCACTGACACATCAACTGAGATAAATCTTTAACGAATACTGCTTACAAATCAAACCCACCTTCACTCAACCCCTTCACTAGTACATGGTCATAAATGTTTTCGTGGTACACGTTCTCCAAATGCATTTTTTAATTATTCCAGCTTGTCAACTATTAAACTTAGATAATCCTGTTGAGCACTATCGAATGTTCTGTTTGACAACCGTCTGAGTGTCGAGTTTAAAGCCTTACCTTTTGCCTTAAAATAGCAGTGAGTTTAAGTTCAATTCAAATGCTAGATTATTAAGGATCAGTGTCTAAGCCATTCAAAATGAACGGGACATCACCAAAAGTAAAGACTAGTATAATACGAATATCCATAATGATGAATAATTAAAGTCACTTTAACTCAATTATTGTTTATAGATTTATATACTAAGTTCTAAATCATCATGTTGTGTTAAGTTAATCATGCAGAATTCGGAATTCTATTCTAATGGTTGAAGATGAGATATAATAAACTGTATTACATCCTAAAATTACACAAATAAATAGACCTTCCATTTTTGGGCTGGAAAATCGTAAACAATTTTATCAAATACAAATAAATTCAAAAGTTCCATTAGAATCCATCAGTCTACTAACTAAACATTTGCTTCTATTTGCCTTTGTAAATAATGATCAATTAAATAATTACTGCTCAATAAGTAGGTCTTTAGTAGATTATATCAAAATACTCCATTATCAATGAAAAAAAGGAATTATACCTTAGTTAATGAACAGAAGTAAAGATTGAATTATAAAATAAACCAAATCAATATCAAATTATTAAATGTAGTAAATATAATTACCGATATAATTTTATACAAGACAGAGGTGATTTAAAATCGGAAGTTTCATCCAATATCGTATTTGTATGTCAGATGTATCTGTATATTAGGAATTGTTGATTTTCATGATGGAAATGGAACTTAACTTCCCTCTCTAGGAAAGCTAAAGCATCAGTGATTACATTACTGAACTGTGTTAGTCACCTGATTTATGGGATATGGTTTCATCCAATGAGTAAGAAAACATGGAAATTAAATAGAAATGATATCCACAAGTTTCTAAATTATAAGGTAACTAACGGAGATTTACCTCAAACGAAAATCAAGTTTGTCAAATTATAATAATAAGTTGAGAAGAGAACGACTGTTGCTCTTTAAATGTTGGCTTAGATTAGTGACAGATATCACGATTATTTATTCAGCTGCTTAAGTATTGTCCCATGTTTCTTTCTGGATCAAAATCCCTATTTGGAATCGACTGATTGGTTTACTAATACTTCCCCAAACCCATTATTAAAGTTTTTCATATTAGAACTAAACTCTAAAACGTCTTCTCGCTACGACACATTTACACCCAGTGATAGATACAAGAATATAAGCTCTAACTAGAAAATGGTTCGAGTTCGAACATATGCTCCAGACAAATGTCGACATTCCCAACGATGCCTGGTAACGATAAATTTTATTTGTGTCGATATCACCATGTAATATATTCTCTCTCAATATGCTTTAAAGTATTACTTTCAAGAATTAAACTGTTCTCTGTATATAGTTACAACTGATAGCCAGCATTACCTATTCCTAGGGGTAGAACAAAGAAAGACCCCTACTTGTATCTTTCAACTTGACGTAGACTACTTTCTTGGGAATTAAATCACCAGCCACGATTACAGCATCTGAGAGTTTCACTCTCTGAAAGAGAGCAGGAATCATTCTATAAATCTCTTGTTCCATTTCATTGTGAACTTGGATTGAGTCATTTAGTGGAAGTGCTCAAATATGGATGTGAAAGACAAGATAAATAACATCAAGGTAAAATACACTGATTCCGGATGAGTATTCGGGAAAAAGAACCTGACATATTATAGTTTTCCATTGATAGTTCTAAAATGCTCAACACGGAACATAAACCCTAAAATTCATTCTACATGCTACTAACACAGAAGAAATATCGTCTCCTACCAACAGAAATTTTAAGAAAGTTATAATGTCTTAAATTCTGTCCAGGTATGCTTGTGTGCTTGAATAATTGGCAGTACTAGGCGCTGAAATTGTCAAGCAGTCACCATGACAACCTAATGCATAATGAATCAGAGGCAGTTAATTTTTATTTCAGATCCTAATAATTTTCACTGAGCTTTCACAAAAGTTAATAAAAGTAATAATAATAATAATAACAATAATTGAAAAGTGAAATCCATAACAAAAACAAACATTGACATATTGAATGAAAAAAATATTAGGAGAGACCAGCTCCTTAGAAAAGTAAAAATTATCGTTTGTGCCAGCAATCATTACAGGTCATTACGAAAAATGTTTTGTGCGTATGTAAGACAAAACGACAAAATAAATACATCAAAGTAAAAAGGAAAACACACTGATCAGAACACATAAATAAATCTTCATATAAGTAAACAAACAATTTACCACAGTAATTTAGCGTAAACATGTGAGTAGTTTAAAAGAAAAATGATGATGTGATGGTGGTTGTAAGCAGCTGCTGACATAAAACATATTCCTAGATTCCATATTTTTTACCATAGAAAATAAACGAAATATTTCTCTCTGATAAAAAGGAACGGTGATAAAATCCCAAGTCAACCAACAATAGAAATTATCAATAGAAAAGAAATATCCTATTCTTCCTTATTTTCTTTTACAGATTTACTAACATGTTCCAATTAATTAAAGAGAATAACAACAAAACAATAACAACGAGATCTCAACAATATTTGCAATAATACTGATTACAGTAATAAAGTAATAATTATTAATAGTACTAATAATAGTGAAAGTAGGTAGACAGTTACAAAATAAAGCCATAACGTACAATGATCTGTCGATCAATTTAAGTAGTATGAAGAGTATATTAGTAGTATAAAAAGCGATTCATAGAATAAGTGCATACATGAGAAAACTTTCAATGAAGCTCATTTTCTGTCCCAAAAACAAAAAAATAGTGTCTTCCGTCCGTTACTTATAGTTTAATTTCATTTACAGGTTATTTTGATCATTTTGCATTTGTAATATTTATGTATCACAAAAAAAGAAACGATTTAATTCTTTCCTTTTCATTTGGTGAATATACGAAACACTAATAAAATAATAATAATAATTCTCCATGAATATAAAACTAAAACCATTGATTACTTGAATATTCTAGCAAAGGAACAAAAAGGAATCTATAGAAAGATGAATGAAATATCAAACTGCTTAATTAATTGAATACGCCTATTTCTATGTTGTTTTAAGATGTTTCCTAAAAAAAATGAAAAGAATTTCTATTCTATGTGCATGTATGTATGTATGTATGTATGTATGTATGTATGTATGTGTGTATCTATGACAGAGATAGACTAAAGGAAACTTAATCCACTTTATGAAACCAAGAGATAAAGGCAGTAAGTGATGTTTGATAAACGTCATCTTATTGAATGTTTAAGACTAGTGATAATAATAACAATATTGGCATTAATAATAATAATATCATTGAAACAAAATGCATTGACCAAAAATTAAAAATGATCCCTATAAAACGAGTGGATAGCAAGAAAAGATTGATAATACACCTAGTCAATAGTACTACGTTTTAGGTGAATATCAAATAATTCAAATAACTTTAGTAGTCACTTTTCATTCTAGTTTTATTGTTTGATATTGACTGTTTTTCCCTGCTTGTATATCACAGAAATGTATTTCGGATAATGAAATGACTATCAGTTACTCCCTAAAATCATCGTATTCATCGTCATCATCATCACCAAACCCTGGTGGGAAAAAATATTGCATAAATGGCTGTTGGGTTTGTTGGGGTAACTGTTGCTGTGCTGTCGTTAAGGTCAGTTGTGGTACGCGTAAACGTGCTTCTGAAAATCGTGGGGGTACCTGCGAAGTTGACGGTCCAGGTACTAAATAACAATGCGGTGTAAGTGAATGTAATAATGGACATTGAGCTATTAAATGATTTGGATCACGACATCGATAACAACGTCGTCGCATAGGTTCGAACGGACATGTGGCAGCTTTATGTGAAGCGTATTGTCCACAATTATAACAGCTAACAATATAGAGATATTTTTAGTTAAAGAAAAATTATGAAATGAAAAATAACATTTATAAACAAAGTATAGATAGTTATAATTCACACTTAACCTACCCTGGTAGTACTGATTTACTATCAAGAGTAGTAATCACATTTGTTTTTGTGTACTTTAATATTTTTCCTTTGTTATGACTTACCCTTAACCTGTCTAGTTGACCTTTTAATTTTTCATATATAAATGTTCTGAACAAGTATATGTGTGATCAGATTGTTCGAAATGTATTGCGCTAATATATCATCACATAATTCTGATAAACTACGTCTTCTCATTGTATTATCAAAGGGATTAATTAATAAGAACTTTCGTCTAAATTTGAACGAATAGTTTCACAATATTTGGGCGCCGAGTTAATGTGAGACATTAAAAAGAATATATTTGTAAAATCTCAGCGAATGAATTTTAAGTAAATCCAACGTTTCGCCTGGCAATCTGGTCCAAGCTTTTTCAAGGAAAATATAATCAAACAACCTACCTACCTATTTATAAATAGGTACAAGGTTCTTCGGTTTACTGTATACTGAATAAGTCATCCAATCAACGTGAAGGATCTTTTTATAAATAGGTATTTGTAGGTTGACATTAAGCCCACGGCAATTAAGATTCCCTACCACCCATTTCTAAAAAATTAAACCCTATCCTTTCACACCATAATGGTCATACATATTATTATCCTTAACCGTGCACACATACACACACTCTAATTTGCAAACATGTCGCTATGACTCACCCTGACCGAAATGACATGACGTCAGACCTGTTTTTTGATTGTTCGCACATAATATTCTTGTGTTGTTGCGTTGTACTATTTAAGCTTGGATTAATTTTGGTTTGGTTATTCTCTGAAAAAGTAGCTTACAATGAGTCACGAGACGTCAGAAAATTTAATTTTTCTACTCTTCGGGCTGGATGCCGGCTCAGTAGTCTGGTGGTTAAGCGCTCGTGCACGATACCGATAGGTCCTCGGTTCGAACCCCGCGAGGCGGGGTACTCGGTGCGCACTGCTGAGGGGTCCGACAATAGGACGAAACAGCCATCTACTGCTTCCAGGTTCTTCATGGTGGTCTAGCTTCAATTGACTCATGATCTCAACTGTTAAAATGTATTTTATCTTAAACCTAACCGCTTTTTAGATTTTAAATTGGAATATCTAACAGCAGAACATAAAGAAAATTTATTGGAAAGAATATTCCTCGTTCATACTGATATTTTTCTGACTTTTTTGAGTTCAAGCTGACAGACTTTCATTCTGTTGATAGAGGAAATTATTTTGACGGAGGGAAATTTGTTCGTGTGACCTTCTTCTTCAGGCTCAATGTCTATAAATGAATAAAATCTTTACTGTCACAATAACAGAAGTAGTGATTTCTCGTTATCGGTAGTAGTGTGTGATTCAAGTAACCACAGTCACTTAACCTGATATGCTCATTTCAAACAGTGAAGTTAGTTATATTTTTAAAATAGTTTATTGAGTATGCTAAAGATATCAACTGATCACCAGTTATATCATCCATTATAGTTTAAAGGAATTCAGGAATCGATTTCTTGATCGAATTAACGATTTAACCACCAAAAACATTTCACTAATTTTAGAATTCATTCAAGCTATCATAATAGAAAACCTAGTGAAAACTTATACCACTAAATCATTATTTATCTTCATCTATCTAGTTTATGAATGAAAATTATTATTATTCGCCATAATACTCTTAAGTAAGTGATGTCAATTTTTCTAAGAGTTGCTGAAAACAATAAAAAGTACTCCTGTTTCCATCATCAGTTCTACCTCTCATCACTAACCCAACTGCTAAACAAGATACAAATTTAAATATTTACATCAAACTACTTAAGATTTATTGACCACTGGGTAGTGACCAATGTAACGTATTTTAAGTCCTTCTTAGTGCTATTTAAGTTCTGTCGATCATGTTAAAATTTGGTCACTAGTCTAAGATATGCGGCATCGTATACACTTTATTGAGATGTACTTGGGTTGTCGAAACTATTGTTTGCTCTCTACAGATTTTTTATTGACTTACATATGTTGCTCGGTAAGACTACGAAGATGATTTCGATTAGCAAACTCAAAATCAACAATCATTTTTAAACTAGCAGTACAACCATGCTAACCAGTTAGTATTCACTGCCTACATATTTGACGTTGTTCAGTTTTACAATGTCTACTATTCTCTTATATAGTATTTAACTACTCGTAAGTAGTAAGCAACTCCACTTAAAATTATTTAGGAAATTGTTAATGGATTTATGCATTTATTCATTTTACTGTTATGTTCCACATACATCTAACTAACACTGATATTTATTAAAATTCATGAACTACATGAAAGCGTTTTGATGTTTATACATTTTACTACAATCACTTCATGAAACACCATAAAGATCACTCAATGTAATCAAAGATGACTGACATAATATATAAAATAAGCAACTCAGTCATACACAGTTTAACATTTGGACGTTGCTGATAATAACCTATGTTGGACTGAATTCATATAATTAATTTCCAAACGGGGTTAGTTGAGAAATGAACAGCTTACTGGTAATTTATGTAACTACTGGGCTGAATAATTATGTTCTCGGAGAAGGTGTAGTTTTATTTATTAACTCAGATCCTCCTAGGTAATGGATACAACGGTGCACAAGACCGGATTTATTACCTCCTGTAATAATTTTCAGCCAGCTAACCTTGGACAACATCTGATCACTTGGATCTATTGTTGTCTGTTTGAAATATAAGTTAAAAATTGATCTAGACCAATGTGATATGGTGAGCCAATCAGAAGAAACCAAATGAGAGGGTCACTTGATAATCTAAAATGGCTTGAAGGATAAATGTATACCATTGACTAAGAAATGGATAAATTTTCTGAACGGTAGAGATGTATGTGTAAAAAGAAGTATTTGTGTATACTATTTGGTAGCCCAATATACTTTCTCATCCACTCCCGTTTTCTCTCACTAGCTGTCTGGTGGTGAGTTAGAGTGTAGCACGTTGTGTATCAATATCAGTTTTCAGACACCGCCCACCATAACACAATGTAAAACTTGTTATTTAGAAATTCAGACCTCCTAGTTTACGGTAAACGCACTACCACTCAGTCACTCAGATATAATAAAGAATTTACATCAGGAGCGTCAGAATGGTTAAAACAATCAGATTTCTATTTCGAAGATTAAGTATGCTATTATCAACCCTTACTTTCTATCTCACTATTCCATCGTTTATAATTTAAATATGATCATAATTTAGATTTTTATTGAACAGTGATGAACACAAAACAGAAAAGTAATAATATCTCAATTTGTTAGGTCACTTGAGAAAAAAAATTTTCGATCCCATAAATTAGTTCACAGTTAACATATAAAATACAACCACTTATAGTTCAATATTATATTGCCAATTATGTAAGAAGTTTCTCTTCATAAGTGTGGAAAATTTTGTAAAAGATATTATATGAGAGTAGGATTTATCGAAATCATTCAAATGAATAAAGCTTAGGAAATATCGTGAACTGACTAAACTTGGAAATATTGAGGACTATTTTCTAATTCAGTACTTTTCACGCTACCGAGATCTGATGGACAGATTGTTTTTACAGGTTTTATCACCTTTTATACAACTTTTATTTCTGCACACTCTTGTTCGATTGACTTTGCATCATGTGATTGACTGACTGTATCTACATGGACAGATACTTATGTTTGTTACCCCTAGTGGAGCGTTGGCCGTCGACCAGGATTCACCAAAATTCTCTAACATGGACAGACAAACTGGATCAGTGTTAATGTATCTGTTAACAGCGGATTGAAATAAATTTCAGACTTCTAAAAGTTCTCTGTTATCTATGAAGTCCCCTAATATTCTCCTAAACTACAAATAAAGCTTCTCAGTTAAACTTGAAAAATTCTGCAATACCGAAACTACGTACCAAAGCTACAAATCTTCTCGATCATCAGAGGTTATACTGTGGAGTCCAATATTTCAGTCATTAAGATCACAAAGGACGGTTAAAAAACAATAACAAGTATAATAAAAACTCTTTAACTAATAAATATTTTTTGGTTTCGTTGGATGGAACTTTAATTTAGCAAGCTTCTATCTATATAAGCAAATGATCATTAACATTGGAGGATTCTGTAGATCTTTCATGTGCGGATTGTGGTTGGAATTACCTAACGCTAAGCTTCGCTAAACAAAATGCGAGCTTTTAAGATAAGCTGGAAATGGGTCCACTTAGTACTGAGATGTCTGCTATTCACTACATAAGGTTTATGGGTTACAGTCTAATCCATTTAACACGCCTGGTTTCCCAAAACATTAAAATCTGATGATGAGAGGACTGAACGCATCACATCTGGATGAAAGTCAGTTTCACATTATGCAATGTCATGTGTACCAAACAGATTGTGTCGCACTACAGAAATGGTCTTTTGCTTAACAGGTGGGTATGACGGTTATAGATTTGTTTAAAATCTTAACCATATACATATTTTTACTACTAGATTCATGCAAAGGGATAAACGTTAATCAAAATAATCAGTAAAACATTTAGATCTACAATTACCTCAAACAACCATTAACCTATCTTCATTCCTTGGACTTACCGAAATCGTCTTGTTCTACGTCTTTCAGGTAACCTTCTCATTCTAAGTGGCTCTGAACTAAGAGGAAATAAGGGTTGACGAACTGCTGGTTCTGACCATGGAATTCGTGATGTTGAAGGAAATTCTCTCATTTCAATTGCTGGTTGAATATTATATCCTTCTAATCCTCTTACACCTGGACGTATCTGAAACCAAACTGGTAAGTCTGGATATAACTGCTCCGCAGAAATTCCGTATACGTTAGACTAGAAAGAATGTTTTTAGAAAGACAGCCAGAATACATTAAGCTATTTTTATGGCCAAAATAACAAGTGGTGAATAGTTTAAAATCAGAAAGCAGTGGACGTTTGTTTTGTCATATTATGGGACTAAACCGCAACACTAACCAGCCACAATCTTTAATAAAGCCGAACTCACTGAATTCACTATAAAATCCTTGTGGCACTGCCCCAAGATCCACATTTCCACCTGACGCGAATTCGGATAACGACCGTCTGATGTTCTAGTGGGACGTCATAAGGAGCGGAATTTACACATGCCAAGAGTAGACAGATATCGCTACCGCGTAAAAATTGAAATGGATTGGATTTTAGAAGCAAATATTAGATGGATGAATGTAACTGGAAGAAGGCTGTTGTCATAGTTAGAACGCATCTGCGAAGTTTATTTCTAGCCTTAGAGGGAATTATCCTGCCTATGAAATTTAAGCCTGTATCACTCAGTCTCATGTTCATTCACATGACCACTGAGTTATACTGATGACTGGCACTCTCTGTATCTTGCCTCTAACTATATTAAACATATTGATCCACAACGTCGAGTCACATGGTCGTCTGACTACTTCTATTGCTGTAATTCAACAATCAGTTCCACAGAAGTTTGAATTCCATTTCTTTCCGGGAACAACAGCGATCTATGGTTATCATACAATTTAAATATTCAAAGTCTTTGTCAATGGTGTTAGTTTCCAATCCCCTATATAACTAGGACTACAGACGGTTATACTCAAGATTTTGAAAATCCCAGATTGTTACAATATTACTGTACGACTAAATGCAAGTACATCTATGGAAAAAACAGACTAGAAACTGTAGGCTTAACTAAACAATTTAAAAAATATACGTTTCAGAGACCAAAACAGTATTAATAGTTCAACTGAGTGTTACCTACTTGGTATGAGATAAATTTAAAAATTTCAAGATAATCTTCCTTAAAGTGATTATTACAAGTCATTGCAATTCAAAATGAGTCAGTAGCTAACACTCAAAACGTTGATAAACGACACTAATGGTATGAGTAACTTACAGTCCAGTGAGATTAACTCACACTCATAATGTAGACTAATGTTAACTTCTCTAGTATTTAAAAAAGCTATCAGTAAAAATGCCCCAGTAAACAGTATTAATCTAAGTTACATTCGAATGTATCCTTCTAAATAATTCAGTTGTGATTAGGAGAATAATTCATTTCAAAATTTGTCAAATTGCTTCAATTTATTACATTCTGTATGTAGCTGTAAGGTGAATCCAATAAAATAAAATGAAAACATCCGTGAAGCATATAGTTTTATCCTATTTAAATCATAACTGAAAACAAAAGAATGACCCTCTCCCAGTTTGGAACTCTATAGTCATTAGTAGCCAAATAACTACCCTGGTTTACAGAAGATTTCTAGCTCATGCTAATAGTGATGGAGTGATAAGTAACACTTAATGCATAAAAACCTCTGAACATTGAGTATTTTATAAACTAAACTTCATAATTTGAATAAAGAATTACCCGCATGATATGAGACAATAAGTAGTTTTTCTAAAAATTGATTCTTTACTTGGAATACATTTGTGTGTTAGAATTAAAAGTAATAGTATAACGTAGTCATTCAGCTAGTTAACATAAGTGGGTGCGGAAACTGCTTTTTTCAACGATATAAGAAAGGCTTAATAAAGCCGTCGCTCGAGATATTAACGAATTCAATGAATTCAAAATAGCTGTCAACAATAGGTTCCATGCCTTACAAGATCAACTCATAAAGGAGGAAACTACTATGGAAGACAACTGGGACGGGATCAAAGAAGCACTAACTTCAACGTATCAGCAAGTGTTGGACCTCAAGGAGCGTCATCATTAGGAATAAATTTCTATGGAAACGCCAGATATTATTCAAGAAAGGAAGAACAAGAAAACAGCAATTAACAACAGTTGAACAAGAACAGAGAGAGTCAAGGCGCAGACTGAATACACCGAAGTAAACAAGAGAGTGAAGAAGAGTATTAGAGCTGGCGAGCAGAAATATGTGTAGGACTAAGCAATGACATCGGAAAGAGCTGCATGAGAAGGAAATGTGAAACAACTATATGATGATATAATGAAGAAACTAGTAGGGAAATATTGTAAACGAGAGCAATCAGTCAAAGACGAAGAAGGCAAGCCAATCACTGAGATCCAAAAACAGCGAAATAGACCAAATCACAACACTACGGATAATTGTTTAACAAACAGTTGAACGGGACTCATTAATATACGTTGACTTCCTTGATTGTGACAAAGCATTTGGCACGGAATACGATGGACAGCTTGCATGCAACTATACGATTCGGACTTCTTAGTTCACCTAGCTCTTCTTTTCTATACACGTCAACAAATTCAGGTAAATACAGTTGGTATAGAATCAGCTTCTGGAGCAATTGGCCTCAACCTTCACAGGGGAAGAGCAGGATTCTGAAATAAAACACAAAGACAACAGACTCAATCATACTTGGTGGAGAAGCTCTGGAAGTGATGGGAAGTCTTTCGTACTTGGACAGCATGATCGATAAACAAGGGAGATTTGATATGGATGTGAAGGTGCTGATTTGTAGAGCAAAGGTAGCATTCCTACAATCAAAGAACATCTGAAACTCTAAAGAACCGTCGGTAAACATCAAAGTCAGAATTTTCAAATTTGAACTTTAATACTGTCCTGTTGTACGGAGTTGAAACTTGGACAACTACTACAACCATCATCAAAAGTGTATAGGTATTAATAAACTCCATATTTGTTTGCCGGATAACGTCAGCAACAACTTACGGTATGAAATAACAAACAAGCTTCCAACTGGAGAGGAAACTAAAATTACTTTGGTGGTGGATAGGACACAGATTTCAGAAATCACTAAACAACATTACAAGATAAGCTCCAACTTGGAATCCCGAAGGTTAAAGGAAAAGAGTAAGACCAAACAACATGTTGAATAGGGAGTCGAAGGGAGAAATCTGAAGGATGAATAGAACTTGGAGACAACTGGAAAAGCGAATCCATGACAGAGTTGGTTGGAGAATCTTTGTCGGTGGTCTATGATCAATGAGAGGTAACAGGCGTAAGTAAGTGAGTAAGTATATGTAGGATCCCTATATTTTCTGGAAATCGACAGTTATCTGAACTTTGAGTAAAATCGTTCATTTTTATGTGTTTCTTTTAAATGATATTTCAAGTAAACAAAACGTCTCTCAGCTTTCCCTTAATAAACTTGTAAACACTTAAGGCTTCATTGGATCCCTAGTATTTATAGGTCAAATATCTATTTTTATCCATAATGGATAATTCGGTGATGAGTATATTCGTGATTTGATTTGTAGTAGTTAATAAAGTTTTGCTACTTATAGGTTGTTTACTAATAGAATTTTTGCTGATTTGTTTGTTTTTGCTATAAATGTATATTTTTAAACCAGATGGGATAATTTTAAAGCTTATATATCGCTATATTACAATTATCTGCAATATTGTACTATTTAATTTACTTGGTGGAAAAAAACTTCCAAATTACGAAAATCTGCTACAATACTGCCAAAGTGTTCGGTCACACTAAACGATTTAATACGACCTCTATTCCATTTTCCTGGACCAATATATGGGTCATATTCTTGTGGTATACGCGGTGGCAACGGTGGAGGTCGTGGCGGAGGTTGTGGTGGAGGTTCCCATTCGCGAGAAAAGGATCCATATGAACCAACATATTTTGACCTAAACATTATATCTGAAATCGATGAACAAAAATTTTGCTAATTAAAAAATACAAAGTTAGAAGTTAATGTTTGATGTTTTTTGTTTAAAAAAGACTTATCACCAGTTCAGTTGTATAAAAGTAATGTAATCAGTACAACGCTTGAAAGCACTGCTATTTGTCAATGACAGGACCATAATTGATCAAAGTTCAAGAATGAGATAAAACAGCCATCAATTTCTTTTTAGTTTTCAATAGCTGATATCAAACCTTGACGAATCTTATCCTCATTTAACTATAATTCAATTACATAGTACACACAATGTTCAGTAATTTTGTTTACTGCTTCATAGCATAAAGGTTGATTTTCATATTGTTTAAACATTTTTTTCACCAAACTTTTATTATTGATATCCAAGTAGCATAGGTTATAGTTTGCACAAAACGTCGTTTATACTAACTACCTTGCCAACTACCAAGAACTATCATTGGTTTTTTAATTGGATAGTCAAATTTTTACATAGCTTTGATTTAGGTCAGGACCCTAAAGATTCAGCTAATATTGTTTGCCAGTTTTAGATTTATTGACTATCGAACACAACCACGACCACAGCATTCAGGTTTCGTGTGAAACACGACGTCAATCAGTTATTGAATCAGAACTCAACATTGCATCAAGTAGTCTAGGATAAAGAGGAACTATAAGTCAGTAAGTAATTATCCTAATTCTTCACGAGTGACTCACCAAGTCAGAGATTCCCACTGAAAATTTTTATTCGATGCTGTAGTGGAAAGTTGCAACCTCCGAAGTCGACTGATTCAGTAATGAGATGTTTGGTGTCGATGATAACGATTGTGTGCCAAATTTCAAAGTAAATAAACTGAACATATGCTACGTTGATTTCGTACAGGTGTCACGCTCAGGGTTAGAACTGAAGCTCGCGTTTTTCATTCCATGTGAGAGATCTGGTTTTACGATAGTGAAGAGTCCTGAGTTACGACAAAACATGTGTTCAGGACCTTTTGAGAAATAAATGATTATTTTGATGAAAAGTAAGCTATTAAATCCTTACTGGAGAATTGTAATTCATTTTGATGATTAGAAATAAACAAATAGACATAAGCGTAGCATTGAACCAGTATAGAATAGCACATGCGAAATGAATTCATTCAGTCCACCCTAAGAAAGTTTGGGACTAAAAATTATGATCGATAAGGATGGAAAAATACTAAGACGAATAGGAAATATTCTGTGACGACGGACCACGGGTGAACTCGAGGAAGCTGTAAGAGGCTCAGAAGGAGCCGAAGATGTTCCATCCAATCACCTTTCGGAAGAATATTCTAGAATTCCTACGTGTAGCTTCCCGATTGGATAATGCCAATAGGAGGACTGAAATGATGATTTCGTTCTTACTAAAAACTATAAATACCTGACAATTTTGTACTATGATTGACACTGTTTGGAATAATATTCCTTTCATTAGTCTTCTGTCTGCTTATTGCGACTTGGAAGGGTTTTGGTGTTCTAGTGCTCTGTTATACGCGTTATATCAAGAAATCAACATTCAAGATATAACATATTCGAATAGCAGAAACATTTAAAGGATGATGTTTGAAAGGAGTGAATACACCTATTTTATTGCGTATAAACTCAGTTTTAACCACTCAAATCCCACGGCTCGAAGTGAAAACGAAAGACTGGTACAAGCGAAAATTTAATAAGTCTCCAAAAATACGTCCACAAAACAAGTAATCACAACCAGTAGTCTAAAATCACTTCGTCATTAAACCAAGCCCTCATTTATATATTGATTTTTCACAAACTTAATGATTAGTTAATAAACATCATAGGAAAGGAATGATGCACATGGTTACTGTAAAACAATTACGACATTCTCGTTGGATAATACAAAGAACATAATTGTCACACCTCCCATACTGAATGAATTTCAGACTCAGTTGACACAAAATATAATGTCCTAAAATATTGCTACAGTTGAAAATATGACTTCAATATCTTACTGACCGTGAGAATGAAATCGATATCAAAATGTCACATTGAGAATAAGTAATGTTATAAAACGTTGCGCTGAGTTGGAGGAAACATAAACTCTTCATCTTATCTCGTCTTATCGATAACTAATATCACCTTGAAAATCTGAAAGTAAATTAGACATTTTTTCATCGTACCAATCTGGCTTACTTTGTATTTACTCCCCAGTTATAACTTCCATCCATTGTGTGTGTATACATCCGTACTTTGGTAAACGTAAATTACGCCCAAACAAATTTAGTACAGATTCACAATATCATCTATTATCTTAACCTTCTTACCTAGAAACGTTGGTATAACTAGGTTGTTTCTTGATTGAAGCACCAGAATCTAACCATTTGGTTTTAAGTTTAAACTTAACTCCACTTAATTCGGTTGTTTGGTATCATAACTGTCCTTCAAGCTTAGGAAGGGTTTTAAGGTCAAATTTGTACTTGATAAATGCGTTAAAGTAGAATAAGTGGTTAACCAATTATGATGACACCTTTTCAAAAAAAAAATTTTATTTTTCAGATGTTGCCTAAGAATGTCAAACTCATTTAAATGCATGATTGCTTCGTTTAAGTTGAGTTTATTTGAACAAATTTACTGACTATAAACTTATTTGGCGGTCTCTTATAAGTATGTAAATTTTAGCAACATCTGATCATCTATCTATCTTTTATGTCAAGTATTCTTCAATTATATGAAAACAAAAGAAGATAGACCGACTCCGACAAAAACTCAATACAAGCCAGATTGATTACGTATTAAACCCCATAGAAGACTAGAAACAATAACTTTTGGAAAAAAAGACGTTGGAATTTGATCGAAGAAATGCATTTGACCAACTATGAAGGTTATTTGTATCAAGTTATGCATATGTAAGAGACTGAGTTTTTTATTTCTTGGTATCAATGACTACAAGTGAACACGTTGGTACTGACTATTTGGACTCAATAGTTTAGTTTACAACTCGGTGTTTGAGACGAAATATAATGGATTCGAGTTCAGTATGAATATCAACATTGGAATGCGACTGGCGAGTATCAACTAAGACAACACTTGTGTTGTGAACTCCACCACTAGTTACAATCCAACTTTCTAAGACTCGTAACTAATGCTACTATCAAAGCAATCTATTTAGAATGTATATACAACAATTGCGATTGATCAAGTGTATTATGATAACTTATTTGTAAAGATTTGTATCCTTTTTGTTATTTTTAATCCAAATGATGAGATTTAATACGAATATGTTGTTGAAATGTGTTTTTCTTTTGTTTCTAACCAAATTAATATCAAGTGAAAACGAACATGAACGTATTATTGTAACTATAACTAATCTGTATTTGTAACCTAGTCTAATTGCATCACAAATCCAGGGTGTATCTAGACCTTTAAAGCAATAACCCTAGACTAATAACCTAACAAACTTTTTATTAAGCTAGAAAAATAGTCATAGCCAATCATGTTAAATAATCTCCAGATTAAACAAATAGAGTTACATCCTTGGCCAATTAAATCTATGTCCAACATCCATGCTACTAAGTTGGTGGGTATTTTCGATTTCATTTTTGTCACAGGACGATTGCAAATAAAGTGTAGATTGGACAGGTTTTAAGGTTAACAGTAGAAGAATCATTTCGCATACTGAAAAGTTTCCTTTGAAGGATTTACCACTACACTTAACTCCATGGTTTCTTTTTATTAGCTTCAGGTTCTATAAAGAAAAAATGATAAGCTGAATTTTACTTTCTAAATAACACACTCATGAAGCTGTGACTCATTCTAGTAGAAAACGAATTATCCAGCTAGATAATATAATTCAGACCAAAATATTGCTATAGAAATAGCAGTTATTCCATTAGAACGTTTAGGGAAATTCGTTGTCATACTGTCATTTGGCAACATTTGCAAATTATTAGAGGATATGAATTTAGTGAACAACAAAGTAGGAAAAGAGAGACAGTTTTACCAGTAGGATATTTTGTTTCCTGGTTTACCACATTGTTTATAACAACTGTTAACATGATAGTTATACTAAGGACGAACTCCATAATGAATCTAAATACACTTAACTCCATTGAATCTAAATGGAAGCGATGAACAAATAAAAGTCCCAGAATTCAAATGTCATCGGTTAAATTGGTGTATTTCAGAGGATGCATGAAGCGAGATACTACAGATGCATCTGAAGTTAGAATATTAAAATAATGTTCAACATGAGTTTATAATAGTTTAGATGAACCAACTAGGTCTGATGAACAATCAAGTAAACAGTTAATTCATTGTAAATAATATATCTGGAGAAATAGGAAAAGTGTAAACTTTCCACTTTCAGTCTACAGTGGAACATATGATCCCACTTCATTAATTTTTATAACAACTAGAAATTAGGTGGGTCACAAGTATAATGTAATAAAGACTAATTACAAATGTTAAGGATTCTTGAAGTAACATATATACAAACACCAACAGTAAGAAGAGGTGATAGACAACACAGTAATGGATATGCTTGTACGTAATAAAATGTACACATAATAAGTGATTGATGTGATATGACTGGTTACCAAATCTAATCGGTTTTGCCAGTATACATAAGTGAAACTCATGTACTACGAGTTCAATATTTTATAAAAAGATTTATGTAGCTTAAAAATGATACATTTAACAATGAACTAATTCAGTTTCAACTGGAACATTGTTATAAGGTTACAACTCAATTCATTTATATCAGAAGGGTTTTCTGGATATTATAGTAATTTCAGTGGTTGAGATCATGAGTCAATTGAAGCTAGACCACCATGGAAAACATGGAAGCACTGGGACTCCTCAGCAGTGCTTACAGTGCTTTGAATTCATCCAATTGATAGGTTCAGAGTTAGGACACGGTTTGTATTCTAATTTCTACTTCTAACCAATTATCCGCCGTTACACTTTGTATTGTTATTGTAAAATACTAATTTTAATAATCGTTAGTGTATCTTACC